GCAAAAAAATCTCTTTTTGGTAGATTTCTGGACATAACTTCATCTATTGCATAACTACCTTTTGTTTTTTTCAGAAGTGACAAGTGTTGAATATATACTTCTAGATATAAAGCTGAAAGACTGATTTGGTGTTAAAGAAATAGGTGAATATGAGTCAAGTTAGAAAGGAATTGAATACCAGAGGAGAGGGAGGAAGTAGTGGGAAAATGTCTTTGATGGTTGTCAACCCATTTGAAACATTTAAATTCAGAGTGCTATCCCTAGAGAATTGGAAAGTAGGTTAATTCTTTAACCACCATTATTCCCTCCCCATCTCTGAGCATAAAGTAAAAGTAATATACAATCCTTATTTTTCTTCTATTTTGTTTTGTTTTGAAACACAAAATAAAATGAAATAGAACGAGCTTGAGCAACTGGAAGGATGGAGTTGTCATAAACTGAGGGAGCAGAAATGTCCAGTGGTGCAAGTTTGGGATGAATTTAGAATTCATTTTGGACACGTTAATGTATCTATTAGTCATTTAAATAAAGATGTCAGGGGGTTTGTGCATTTCTGAGTCTGAGTGTCTGGAAGAGAAATGTGTACATAGAAAACATAAATGTGACCCTCTTACCTTAAGAGACAGGGAAAAGAGAACAATTAGAAAAGAGGACTGAGAAGTAGAGCCACTGCTGGTGTTTTGCTCTAGGTAAACGGCATTTCTTGGAATTGTGCACTAGGTGGCTCATCTGAGAGTGAGCCGTGAACTAGGAGGAGAAAAAAGTAAAAGAGTTTGGTGTCCTGGAAGCCAAGTGGGAAACATTTTAAGAAGCAGAAAATTTTATCAATCACGCAGTTAAGTATGATGAAGACTGAGATCAGACCATCATAGTTTGCATTGTAAAAGCCATTGATGACTTTGAAAAGGGCAGTTTCCACTAATGGAGGGGGAAGCCTGATTAGAATAAGCTACAGAGGAAATGAGAGAAGAGGAATTGGGAGTCTGAGATTATTAATAATTTTGCAAAAGAAAGCAGAACAGCTCAGTAGCCGGTGAAATGGACCAAGGCAAAGATTAAAAAAATAATAATAAAGGAGAGATAATAGCAATTTTACAAAAAGGAAAAAATGGCGAGGGGAGAAAGAATTGCTAGAGTTCTCTCTCTCAGTAAGCAAAGGCAGTGCACAAATGAAGTGATTAGCTTTAAGTAAAAACACTCTGTAAAGAAGGCAGTCATAGGATATTGAGGAAAAAAGCAAGTTAGTAGGTGAACATGGTGATGGAAATCTGAATGTGTTTGAGGTATCACAGATTGGATTCACTGGAAGCAAATACTGAGATGGAGTTTGGAATACTGAATATGTGTTAGGGATCAACACTTAGGGAAGGGAGAGAGAGGAAACAAATGGATGGAGGAGAAATTCAAACTACAGTACATGCCTGGCAAAACTTAACCAACCCAAAGACAGCTCTGGATCTGTTCCTCCAGCCTTTATGCTGCCCTCAACCACTCCTGGAAATGGACACTGGATTTGGGCTTCCCCTAGAAGGGTGCATTCTGGGATCTCCAAAAGTGAGATGGACTTTATAGTTGCTCAATGCTGGAAGACATCTGCTGATCCCGGCAGCTACGGTATAAGGCTGTTTTTGTGAAAAGGGATGTGGATGATACAGCTCTGTGTCCACCCAGTGGAATTGTTTCCATTTTCTCAGTACAAAGAGGAAGCAAAACTGCTACTGTGGAGTGAGGAGGGGCAGTGAAATCAGGGAATGGAGGGCTTGAAGGTTGTACAGGAGTTATGAAATTGTCACCTTGGTGAGTGACAAGTGAACGGACTAGGAAAAAAATACTGCAGCTTTAAAGTTCCCTTTTAGGTTTGGTAGTTATGAATCTCAAGTGATACCAGACAGCATGAGTGTTGGGTTTTCTCTGATCACGTTCAACTCTATATGTGTAGATTCAGGAGCAGAGGGAGAGAGAGGAAGAAAAATTGAGACATCAAACCATTAGTAGGAGGCCAGATTATTTAGAGACTTGTCAGTCATTTAAGGATCTTGTCTTTTGTTTCCCAGTTAGATGGCAAACACTTCAGGGTTCCTTTTAATCCTTTTGGTTTTGAGAAATAATACATATATATATAGATAGATAGATAGTTCCACAGAACATAAGTGCATAGCTCAAAAAACTATCACAAGGCGATCACCCTTGTTACCTTAGTCAAGCCAAGGAAGAGAGTACGGCCAGCACAGAGATGGTCCCCTCTGGTCCTCTCCCAATTATTTTTCCCATCTCCATTTTGATAATTCCTCTCCTAACATTTATGGTAATCCCTTTGCTGTTTGTTTGTTTGTTTGTTTGTAATATGCCATCAAAACTTGTAAGGTTTGTTGGTTTTATTTTTTCATCTTTTCAGAAATGCAATTAGACCGTATATCCTTTTTGTGTCTGGCAGTTTTGCTCTCCATCATGTTTTTGAGATGCACCCACATTGTTGCATTTGTAAGTTCAGCTGCCCACAGGATCAGACTTGAAGCTTGGTTTTCAGAAATTTTAACCCTGCAGCTACAGGAGATATTTCTGTGTGTGTCTGTGTTTTCCAGGACAATTACAGAAGTTTCCTGGATCCCTACTGAGGTTGTGGATTAGGATTTAAAGCCATGAACTCATCTTTTCCTTCCTCCACATCCTGCAGTACACTTAGTAGAAATCAAATGATGCAAAGTAAAATTCACTGGTAAAGATATCTGGACCTGGGGTATTTGCTGTGGGAAGATTTTTTTTTTTTTTTTTTTTCCATATGGCTTCTACTTAATAGAGGACTATTCTGATAATTTATTCATTTTTGTATCCATTTTTGTAAGTTTGTTTTTCTAGAAATTTGTCTATATCACTTACATTTTTACATTTTATTGGCATAAAGTTATTCATAATATTGTCCTATTTCCTATGACGGTTATCTTAATTATAAAAATGTAACAGTCAACTAGATTTTCCTCATAATGTCATCATAAATAAATTTCAAAAGGTAGGATCATTAGGACCACGGGCATGAAAGACTCTGTACATCTTTTTCTAAGTTACTCTCAATAAAGTTTGATACTGTCGGTGGTATAAGACAATAATTTTTTTGAAGTCTTTGCCATACTCAGTATGATAATCATGTTTCTATTTATTTTTTGTCAGTTTGATATACTCAAAATAGTATTCTTAATTTTATTTTTATTTCTTTAGGTTTATTTGGAAGGTTGGGCAATATTTTTGCAAATTTTTATTGGTATTTTTTTGTGTGTGACTTGGCTGACACATCCTGTAGGTTACATTTTGATTTAAATGATTAAACAGGCAAAATCTACCAACAGAAAAAATGTCGAGTTCTTTCAATATGACCACTGACCAGTGTTACTAATAGGAAATCACTACTGAAAATACAAGTTGTACCCTTTATAATGTGTACAAATGCGACAAAATCTTGCAGCTATTTTGCATAATTCTTCCCTATCAGCTTTATTTGTACAGATCTATTTCTATGCATAATTTTCAAAGTAAAACAAAAAACTACATGTTTGCCAAATTATTATGTATACTAATAACATCAATATGACACTAAATTGCCTTGTGAAGCAAAATTGATTTATTTAATAAACCAATAAAGTCTAAGTTCTTGCTAAACTTATTCTAAATAAATTCCTAAAATTGACACAATATGGCAATCTAATGACGCATCATCAGTTTTTGATTGATTGTGAGTTAATGTTAATAAACAACAATCCAGTTTCCAGCTAATTAATAGGTTCAAAAATGTTATGAAGTTTTAACCCAGTGCTGTATACATAAGTGAAACCCTTGAAAATGTGTAGTTTAATTATGTAACTGCTACCACAAGTGTCCTTATTATGGAATTTTGAGAAAATTATAATTGGATGAATAGAAAAGTGTATCACTGAGTTAACACTGAATTATTTTTGTTAGTGCATGTGTGTGTATGTGTGTGTGTGTGAGAGAGAGAGATCTGTATTACGGCATATGTGGGTATTAAATATGTGCTGATTAGTTTCTAGCAGAATTTCTTAGCACTAATGTCTCCTTAAATATAACAGTTTTTTTTCCTTAGTCTTTGTTATAATATTTCTTCTTCTCTTTGTCAATTCCAACTTTAGAAAATCCTGTGGTTTACTAGTGCCTTTGAGGAAGCCTACAACGGTGGCTACAAGCTCAGATCCTGGGATCAGACAACTCTTGTGTTCCATATGATTTCATCAAGTACTAGCTGCAAGAAATCAAACAAAATCTTTAACCTATACAAGTCTTCACTTTTCTTCCTTATAAAATGATAATGTTTACTACCTCACAAAACTGTTGTGAAGATGTAAACACACAAAAGATGCAAAATATATCCTTTTTTTCAGGGACTACCACTCTACCTAGCCACTCAAACCATAAATAAAGCCGAGAGTCATTCCAGACACCTTCCTTTTGCAGCCCAATCCCTAACATTACAAGTACTGTCAATTCATGTCTCATTACTTCCAGGATAAAATCCAAACTCCTTAGAAAGGCCCCAAAGGTCTCCTGTCACCTGACTTCCAATTACTTTCTAGCTCTAGGAATTGTTTTCTTCTGTTCCATCCTTGTACAGTCTTCATACCCGTCATACCTATCTATCTGCTGGTTTCAAAACATGCTGAGCTGTTTTACAGTTCTACGGCTTTTCTCAGGTTTATCTTTTATTTTATAAGATTCAGCCCTAAGATCATGTTCTCTGTGAATTATTGCCTACCTTCCTCCTCTTCCCATCTTTACCTAAGGTGGAGCAGACTTTTCTCACTTCTATGTTCCCACTATACCCTGTAAAAACATATACTGGTATTAGAGCACCTAGTATCTTTATTTATCCATTTTCTACTATTGCACTCAGGATTGCATTCCCAGCATCAAATGACTGACCAATAATAAGCACAAAGCAAATGTTCATTGAATGAACGAATATATTAAGTTTCAATGGCTCTCTAAACCTAATTTCACTAGGTTGGTTCGTTAACGGAAATATTAACAGCAACTTATATGTACTTCCCCACTTGTTGCTCCAGGAGATTTATAGGTTTGTGCTTCTTTTTTTTTTTTTTTCATGTTTTCAAGTAAATCTAAGTACATGACCTCAGATGACTTTCTCATCCTGAAGCTATTTTACAAAGTAGAGAAAACTAGAAAGGGAAAGCAAATGTCTCCTAGGATACTAAGTCTTCTCTTTATTCTTTATTTTTAAACTCCCTAGAAGCATTATATATATGTGTGTGTGTGGATATATACATATTATATATGTATATATGTATATATATTTTATATATATATACACACACACACACACATCATGCATTATTCGTTGCTGTCTGTAAAGGTCAGCACTCTGGTGTATTTATGGATAGAACAGCATGGATACACTCTTACTGAATGATCATAGAGATCAACCCAAAAACCTTGCAGCAGATTGATTATCCTTAATCATTTGGTAGCCAAATTTTGGTATCATCTAAAGTTCAGTTTTTTTAAGCAAATTGTATTATCTGAAGACAGAAAAAGAAAAAAAATAATTTTTCTAAAATGCTGTTATTTCCAAATTAGAGATGATAGGGTCCTCTTAAAACCAGTTCCAAGAAAAAGAGAATTCATGTTCCATTTATCTTTCGGAGCCATTTTTGATGAACAACTGACCTGGAAATCTGTGCTAAAATAGGTTTATGATACCTTGTGAAATACTTTCAAGTCATTAAATAAAAAGAATCCTCACTAACGCTTGTCGTGATAATCTTGAATCCACACATATAAACCACTATACTTTAGAAACACAAAGAATTCCAGGGGTGATGAATCAGAAAGTGGCATCTAGAAACAAGGTTTCATTTACTGTCTCTCAAGTAGCTTCTCTGTACTAGAGTAGGGATAGGTGTGATAAAACAGCGCTGGTCCTCAGATAATACTCTAACAGAAAAGATGATTTAAGCAATCAATTACAATAAAATGTCATGAGGATATGAGAATGGAAGTAGAGCACTGTATGAGAACTGAAGTCTATTCTCACATCTCATGTTACATTCACAGACAGAAATAAAACATTTTTGGCCAGGAGCGGTGGCTCATGCCTGTAATCCCAGCACTTTGGGAGGCCAAGACAGGTAGATCACCTGAGGTCAGGAGTTTGCAACTAGCCTGGCCAACATGGTGAAACCCTGTCTCTACTAAAAACACAAAAATTAGCCGGGTGTGGTGGCACATGCCTGTAGTCCCAGCTACTTGGGAGACTGAGGCACAAGAATCACTTAAACCTAGGAGGCAGAGGCTGCAGTGAGCCAGTATCGCGCCACTGCACTCCAGGCTGGGCGACAGAGAGAGACCCTGTCTCAAAAAAAAAAAAAAAATAATAATAATAAATAAATACAACTTATTTTAAATGAGCATTTGTAAGGGTCATTGCTACTTGCCCAAATTAGGAACTGTCATGACATATCTATCCAGTCCAGCCAGCTATGTGAAAAAGTACCTGGATGGGTCCTTTGACTAGAACTCTATGAGAACTAACAAAATATTAATTAGCATGATTGAATCTACTTTTTTGTAAGGGCAATTTATACATCTTGCTTTTCTATAACAAAAATAAATTATGCAACTCTAAGACTTACATATAAACTTTCAGGTCCTCTAAGTAAATGGAGAGACACCTTAGTCTGTTAGGCCTCTGAGAATGGTCTCATTCTGGTCTTAATTTCTCTCCTTCCAGAAACTTTTCTGAATGATTTTCTGTGTTCCATTTGGATCTTTTCCTTTTCTGTTGTTGCATATGGGCATTTTTAAAGTATTTGTAGAATGTCCTTAGAATTTGTGTGGACTTGCTCAGATTTCACTGTTGATCACAATATGCCTGGAATGAACTTTATAAAATAGAGACCAACCATGACATGTGTCCAGCTGAATATAGTGCCCCTTCTTTTAAGGTAAGAATGATTTTCTATTTATGTCCTAAATGACGGACTCTCTGTCTCCAGCCTCTTTTTCTGTCTTCAGATACTACTTTGAAAACAAGATGAAAGCCATGGAATCTCCGAGAAAAATGTACATCTTACAGACTTTCAGTGAGTTCTGGAACACCAGGAACCTAGAGTCCACACTAATGAACAGCAGTTTCCTAACCTAATGCGAGAGACTTAAGATTTCTTCTGCGTCCCATGATCTTCTAATAATTGTCTTCTTAGCAAGACTAGACACAGCTCCAAGAAATGTGCACTACCATGAATGTCTTCCAGCTATCTTCTATGACAGCATTTCCCAGTGCATTCTGTGGAATAATGGTACAGGGTGATGTTCTATGAAGAAAAATAAATATGGAAAGTAATATATTCCACAGCCCGTACATTAGATTGCCTACACAACAGCAATGTGCTGTAGTTTAATAGGATTTGAATGAATAAAATTAATGCTCACAGCTATTTTCTTCTGCCGGCAAATATCTTTCTGACCATAATCTTGCTAAACAGAATTCATCTGAACTTATGTTGTTGCCAGCAAATATACGAACAATTATACCTAATCAAAAACAAAAACCAAACTGATGTTCAAGAAAATTAATCATTTGCTTTGAATAAATCAGCTATTAAGAAAGCTTACATAATTGAGTCTGACAGTGCCAAATCATGTCTGAGATGAAACACTGCATGATACATAATCAAACAGATATTTGCAAGAGCTGTGGGTTGGGGGAGAGTGCAAATGTTTCCCAGCACTCCTGTATGTCATGGGAGCACACAATAAAACACTTGAAGAACTGCAATAATAAAAGGTTTAAAGAGCTGCAATAATGGGTTTTGCACACTGTAGTGGCTACTGATACTGAGAACATTTTAGAAGTTCATCTCTATCATCTAAACACTACACACCACCACAATCTATTTATTACGTCTTAATAGGAATTCTATGCTAATATTTTATCCCTTTGCATCTGCTCTGTTTTACTATTTGGGTCATATCTCTTGTTAGAAACAATGTTTGACCCATCTATTCTCAATATAAATAAAAAGCTTTTACCACATAAACAAGGTCAATTTGTTCTGTTTGAAAGATGGAGTAATGGAACTAACTGTAAGATATGCAATGTAAAATTTATTCCCATTTCACCTTTATATGAGTAGAAATGAGAGGTACTCAACCAAAATATGCATAAAAATTACGCTTTCTGTACTAGCCATCAAATAAATACGTATGTATTTATGCAAATAATAGTGTAAATGTATGCTTTCTATAGAATGCAAAGAAAATATTTGATGTTTTTCTTCATGGCTTATTTTCATTATTAAGTATTTTACCATTTGATACACGAATTTGTACTTTGTTTTCAGGTAATTGCATATATCTAGTCTGCCAATGACAGCAATTTATCATTGCACAGAGTCAAAAATGAGATGTAATTTTATTGCTGCTAGTAGCTCAAAACATGTACTTTGGGCTAATTTATTGATTTATTTGAGATGGAGTCTCGCTTTGTCAACCAGCTGGAGTGTAGTGGAGTGATCTAGGCTCACTGCAACCTCCGCCTCTCGGGTTCAAGCAATTCTCCTGCCTCAGACTCCCGAGGAGCTGGAATTACAGGGATGCACCACCACACCCAGCTAATTTTTGTGTTTTAGTAGAGACGGAGTTTCACCATGTTGGCCAGGCTGGTCTCGAATTACTGACCTCAAGTGATCTGCCCGCCTCAGCCTCCCAAAGTGTTGGGATTACAGGCGAGAGCCACCCTGCCCAGCCTGATAGATAATATTAAGGGAATATTTCTCAAGTTTAATTTCAGCTACACTACAGAAAATAGTCCCTTGGTTTTCTGGAACAGAATTGCATGTAATCCATTTCCATACAGGATATTATCCATATCCTAATTTATATCCATATAAATTTAGGATTGGACTGGGTCACAAAATGAGAAGTAAAAAAAAAAAAAAACAACTTTTGAAATATTGGCAATTTATCCGCAGAAAAGGACACAAATACATGCGTTTTTTTTCTTTTGTATCCTGAATGCACTAAATCATAAACAGTGTAGCTGCAACATTACCTGAAAATAAATTCTTGTGAATGATACTGTTCTTTATTTTTTATATTTTCCAGCTTGCATTACTATTTTTTAAACATTTAAACCTCAGATTATTGGTGTTAAACATGAAATGTCAGACTGAATATCTTATGAATGTATATTGTGTGAACATGAATTCCCTCTACAAATTAGTTTTTAATTCTTTTTTAAAGATCTAATATTTAATAATACACTAATTTACTTTCCTTAGCACTTAATTATAGAAGTACATGACTACTTATTTCCAAAAATTCTAAATACCCTGAGCAGCTTAAGATTGTGTCCTAAGTAAAGAATTTCCTCAAGTCTTCTTTATGTGCCTCAGCCAGATTGGGAAAGACTGAGAAGTAAATACACAGAAAGAATTATCTTCTTTTGCTTGTATTTCCTGATTTGAGTCATCCAGGGGTGAAAGAGACTGCCTTTTCTGCAACAGAAAATAACTCAGGAATGGCAAGTTGTGTAAAAGAACTAGTACAAAGCATTGAACCAGTTTAACATACCGCCTAAAAATTTATAAGTTAATAAAATCAAATTCAAATGCCAAACATTATCGGTGAAAGAAAATACATACAAATGACACATTATATTTGAGACTCTATGTGTCCCCAGTTCAATGACTGGTACCTTAGGAAACTGTTCCTTAAAACATACAGTAAGATTTTCAGTACTTGAGAATTTTAAATATCATTTCTTTATATTTAATAAATAGCTTAAAATTATAGCAAACTGGAATTCAGATTCTCATTTCTTCTTTATCAAATTGGCCTCAATTTTTTAAAAATACAGTTGCTGCTCACCAGCTCTAAACAATGAACAAAAAATGTAGAACAAAAAGAGGTGGAAGGGACTGACAAATTACAATTCGGTGGGAAAAGAGGAAGAGAATGAGAAAGTATTCGATATTCTTTGCCCCCAAACAATGGAGAACTGTACACAGGCACCATGGTAATTACTTACATCTTCCCTATGTCCCACTAGTACATACTAATAATTTAGTTTCTATTACTAGTCACTTACCTACACGAATAAATTGATACATTTCGGAATTTATATGACTTAGCTACATGGCTTTTAAGAAGTATCCTACTATGGTTTGACAGTCCCCTCCAGAACTCATGTTGCAATTTAGCTGCCACTGTAACAATATTAAGGGAAGGGACTTTTAAGAGGTGAGTAGACCATGAGGGCTCCACCCTCACTGGGGACTTGTATTATAAGGGTGAGTTCAGCCACTCTTGTCCTCTCTTACCCTCTTGCCTTCACCATGTGATGACACAGCAAGAAGGCCCTCACAAGATGCCATGCCTTAATATTGGACTTCCCAGACTCCAGAACTGTGAGCCAATAAATTTCTGTTCATTATACATTACCCAGTCTGTGATATTCTGTTATAACAGCACAAAACAGAACATGTCCTTTGGTAAGTTATGAAACTGTACTCTATTCCAGGTTTCCCCTAGCCAGTCTGTAACAGTCTGTTTTATATTGCTATAAAGAAATGCCTGAAGCTGAGTACTTCATTAAGAAAAGAGGTTTATTTAGCTCACAGTTCTACAGATTGTAAAAGAAACAAGACACCAACATCTGCTTCTGGTTAGAGCCTCAGGAAGCTTTCAATCACAGGGAAGTTGAACTGGCAGCACTTATGTAACATGGTGAGTGTGAGCAAGAGCGGTGCCATGCTCTTTTAAACAGCAGCTCTTGTGTGAACTAATAGAGTGAGAACTCACACATTACCATGGGGACAGCACCAAACCATTCATGAGGGTTCCATCCCATGACTGAAACACCTCCACCAGGATCACATTTCAACACAAGATTTGGAGGGGACAAAGGTCCAAACTATATCATAGTCTCAACCCAGTTATTTCAATTGTCTATTTCTAATAAGTAAACAAGTCATCCAGTTTCCATGGTGTGATCACAGCTCATTGGAGCCTCAACCTCCTGGGTTCAAGTGATCTTTCTGCCTCAGTCACTTGAGTAGTTGAAACTACAGGCATGTGGAACCATGCCTGGCTAATTTTTGTATTTTTTGTAGATGAGGTTTCACCATGTTGCCCAGGTTGGTGGTCTTGAACTCCTGGGCTCTAGCAATCTTCCTGCCTCAGCATCCCAAAGTGTTGGGATTACAAGTGTGAGCCACCCTACCCAGCCTACAGCTACTCACCTTAATAAAACAAATATATTAGCTTACGCAATGATTTTAATTTAATTCTATATTTGCAACTGTAGACATGCAAAGGGGTTACCCATACACAATCATGTGAATGTCAGCTTACCTTATTATATAGTAAAAGGTTAATACAAAGAATTCTCCATAGAAAGTGAGAAACTGTGAGTAGAACATCTTAAGTCTTTGCATTTACATCAGTTTAGAGATCTAGGGACACAATTTTAAAAATGCGCTGTAAGATTAAGGTGAGGATGACGACAACTGCATTATTTCTCTCTTTCAAATAAGAGACAGTTGGTGACTTAGTCCTTTTGTGCTGCTGTAACAAAATACCACAGGCTGAGGAATTTATAAAAACAACAGAAATTTATGCTGGGCATGGTGGCTTGTACCTGTAATCTCAGCTACTCAAAAGGCTGAGACAAAGGGATTGCTTGAGGCCAGGTGTTCGAGACCAGCTAAGACAACATAGCAAGACCCTGTCTCTAAAATAAATAAGTAAGTATGCCTTACAGTTCTGGATGCTGGGGAAGTAAAGATGAAGGCATTAGTAGGTTTGGTGTCTGGTGAGGGTTGCTCTCTGCTTACAAGACGGCACCCTGTTGCCACATTCTCCGCAGGGAGGAATACTGAGTCTTCTTCACATGGTGGATGAGACTGGGGAGCAAAATGGATCTAAGCCGGTTCCTTCCAGCCCTTTTTATAAGGCACAAATCCATACATAAGTGCATAAGTGCCTTTTATAAGGCACTAATCCATACATAAGTGCAAAGCCCTCATGACTTAATCATTTCCCAATACTTTAAACAATTTCTCTAGATTATTTCATAATGCCTAATACAATGTAAAAACTTTATATAAATAGTTATACTCTATTGTTTAGGGAATAATCACAAGAAAAAAAAGTCTACCATGTTCAGTACAGTTGCAACCATACATTTTATTTTTTTCTATATATTTGTGATTCACAATTGGTTGAACCCACAGATGCAGAACCCACAGACAGAGAGGGCCGATTTGTATAGAGAGGAAGGCAACTGGACCTAAGTGGTTAAGGTATCAACTTAATTTAAAGCAAA